TATACCGACATAAATAAATAAAAAATGATTGCCACTGTGGAATTATCAAAAAGTCTAATGTTTGTTGTGATTTATCTTATAATGAACCTTGTCTACACACTGGGATTAACTTCCCTTGTGTAGTCATGCATTGTGGCACGTAAATAAATAATATCATTTTCCAAAAAATGTAATAATGTAATGTACTATAGATGAACATATTTTAACTTAAAAATTAGACTCAAATATTTTTTTATTTACTGAGGCAACCTAGGTGCAACGACTACAGCTTTGAATAGATGTTTAAAGGTGAGGAAAAGAACTTTTTTTATAAAAGTATACATTTATTAACCATGTAATTGAGCCAATCTTTTAAAACAAATAAATTCGAATTCACTGCAATAGTTCTCTACAGAATTTAGATCATTCTTTTTATCAAAAAGCAAAAAACTAAAACATTATTATCATGAACCATCAAAAAACTAAGTAATATTTTGCTATTATATAGACAAACATTGCTTATAAAAGTTTGTTTTCAATATAAATGACTTACTTCCTTGGTGTTTGTCTCTTTCATAGTCTCTTTAATTTGTTTTCAATTCCGATGCAATTTAAAATTCTTACATTTTAAAATTCAGTTAAAAATTGTATAAGAGATTTTACTCTACGACAGATGTCGTGACCATATATCATAGAATACATATACACGTATTTATTGTAATGTAGTGTCTAAATAATGGCTAAACGCTACACGGACTTTTTTAATGCNCATAAATACGAAATCCGATATAAGAATAAAATGTCATTGCTGAAATTAAAATAAAGGTTTCTTAAACTTTTTTACATTATTTTCATTTTTATAATTCTCTTTTGTGTACTTTTAAATTATTATTAACTAGTGACCCGCCCCAGCTTCCCACGGGTGCAATGCTGATACTAAATATATTTTTGCTTTGTTTAGATTATTATCGAAAAGGGGAAATCTTCAAAAAATACCTCCTGAACATACTAAATATGCTACAGGATGTCTTTATATACAACATTCACAGTTTCTTGTCATTAGGAAATACAAAACGGCCTCCCGGCCGTTACCGCCGCAATCGCTATGTCCCTGCATTTTAAATCTGTAATATCTTCAACAATATTCATTTAAATTACATGTTGTAGGTCTATATTGATCTATATTAAATGCACAATGTATTTTAAGTGCTTAATTGGATAGGAATTAATGCTGTATTGCCTACAATCGCTTCGTAAATAAGTCATTATTTCTCATAAAAAGTAAAGGATAAAAATGGTTATTGTGGATTATCCCTAAGAGATAGACATATACCATCCCGGACTTTTTCGTAGACCCTTTTAAGATGTACAATATTGTGGTACATTATTTTGATCTATCTCGTAGGGTTCAGCCAGCGTTTGCAATGTAAGCGCAAAAAATGTGTTTATTTACGACAACACATTAGAAACCTCTATATTATGCATGTATTATACATATAAACCTTCCTCTTGAATCACTCTATCTTTTAGAAAAAACCGCATCAAAATCCGTTGCGTAGTTTTAAAGATTTAAGCATACATAGGGACAGACAGCGGGAAAGAGACTTTGTTTTATACTATGTAGTGATTTACGATAATTAGATCAGTTGTTAAATTTTCAGCGCTTCTGAATTTTTGTAGAATATAAGACACACATTACAACCTGTTTTTTTTTGCGCAAAGTTGCATCAATATAAAATTTTACCATTTTCGAATAAAACTCATCATTTATCCATTTTTAATATGTCGTGAATTAGATACTATAGCCTATTTTAAAAAACACGTTACATTTTTTTTACTTCACGTAATCACGTATTAATTAATCACCCCACTAACATATACCCTTTTGTTTCGTGACATACAGTTATTCATTCATGAATTATACGAATGCATACTTGCATCATCTCTTTATGTTCATATGCATGTATATAAATATTTTAATACTACTAAGTATATACAGGATGTACACCCGTTGATTTGATCTGATCTAAATAAAGAATAATAATAATAATAAAACATATCTTGAATTCGAATTGCTAAAGGCTTTCGCGGCCAGTAGGTGAATTGGTGCTGTCCTGATTCGGGTCTAAAGACCGTCGTAGGTTGGAGTTGATTCCTAACGTTTCGCTAACACGAGTGGCGAATTTCTTCAGAGGTTCTTTCACCTCCTTTCACCCTGAATCACCTCAGCATCAATTTATCTTGGATTCATTTAAATGAAATTTTATTTTCACGATTTGTACACTTTTTTCGTTGAGGAATTTTATATGCACAATTCATGAGCATTTTTCAGTTTTTTAAAAATGTAATTTAAGAAATTGTAAAATCTGTTTATAAATTATAGTGCACAACAGTTGTAAGCGGAATAATAATTAAATATATAGTATTCACACCACCATAGATGTTCAATGATGAGTGCATTAAAAAATCTTAGTCAATTAAACTGCCCAAATGAGCCCCTTTTTATATTATAATCCACACTATCATCATCAAGTTTTTGAAAGATGGTGGGCGTTTACTGTTATGTAATCATCAGACATAACTCAATAGAAACATGAATTATCAAGGCAATAATGGGTACTTCTTAACATCCACAATTAGAGTAGTTCATTATGTTATATTTATTAAAGATTATATTGAGCAATATATCTCAGACAGACCAGAACAATTTAAATTGGCTCTAAGACATTTTTGCACAACCTTTAGTGGTGTGATATCCAACTTTTTTAACATCAAATCTATTAAGAACACTCACATTTGATGATGGGTGTATTTCTTGCAAGGTTTAGGCTTTGTTTTCAATGTCCAATGTCGAATATTTCTTCATTATTTGACATTTACAAAGTGCTGAAGTCAATTATCTACAGCAAAATACATTGCAAAACTCAAGGGCCTGTAGGAATTAAGCATCATGTTAAAAACAGTTTACTAAACACTTTTGATGGAATATCAATGGAACCAACTGTTTTAAAGAATTGAAGTAGATGCTCAACATGCACTAATTAAATTTTTTTTTCATGTACAAAAATTTTAAGATCATGAAAAGCAAATTAGATGAAAACTATGATATACACACAATGTGTATATTCTATCAAAAAAGTCATACCAAAAATAAAAAACAGTATGAAGCTTACCAAATTAAGACATCATGTTTTCAATACTACTAAGGTTCATCAGCATTTTCTTCATATTTTCTTTTTCCTCAATGGTTTTTAAATTCACACAAAACTGTTCAACCTTTTGTTCTTGATACTTTTTAAGAAATTGGAAACACTTTTGCATTGTTGCTCCTATATATAAAATGGTGATGTTTGCTTTCTTCTTTTCAATTTCACTTATTAATGGTAACGTACTAGTGATTAATTTGTGAGGTCCATGCCTTACACGGATTATACCAACTCGAGTTTCCTTATTGCAATATTTTGCTACAAATCCAGTTTTACATGCTGCAACACCAAAATCACCATGAAGCTGTTGTAATCTTTCTAAAATAGCATTATACAAGGTACTGTTGTTCAGATTCAATTTATTATGTTCTTCTTTAGTATTTTGCTCATTAATTTGGAATATGATGTACCTAAAAATTAATTAAATCAGTTAAATAACAGTGAACATTAAATAATGATATGTACCTATTTTTATGGCGCACCATTTTAATTGCAAGTTGATATTATATTCTTTGTTTATTATCATTACAACAAACGTCTGCGGTCAGTTTTCCACATCTTCCAGTAGAATACAATTGTTGAATAAAATCATAGATAATAGATCTACAAAGGGTAGAATAAAATGATAGAGCCACGGTAGATTACGAATGGGAGCCACTAATCACGAACCAAAATTACGTGCATAGAAGCACATGCAAGATCGATGAATAAACATTGACAAATGAATGAAGACTTAATCTAATCTATGGACTTAAATCCATAGGACCATAGCATCCATAGACTTAATCTATGACCATAGATTATGGTTATATGTTAATAACCAGTTGTGTGAACTGGCACCTGATATGATTAATCCTCCGATTTAAATATTACCAATAAATTGTGCGTCTAATTCTTAGTATAAGATATAATTCTTGTTTATGGACTGTAGTTATGGACATAATTGTCTATGGACATAATTAATTAAATAGAATAGCACTGTCCAGCTCTATGATCCAGCTGCCAAGCTGCCAAGTTTAGGTTAAATGACCTGACGTCGGTTGTTCATTCACATAATGTGTTTATATTATCAATGTGTGTTTATTTTTCATTAGTAATGTAGCATTTAAGAACTAAACGGAGTTATAAAAATTATATTGTTTGTCGTTTTATTAGGAACGTGTTGCGCTGAAATTAAGATAACTGGGAGTTTTGCAGTTAAACAGACATTAATAAATAGGTATATAGTTATCTGAAGAGAGAATAATATCAGCACCTTAATTTGCAACCAATTGTATTACATAGCGCAATGACTTCGGCTTTGTACTTGGAGCATTATTTAGACAGTAATGGAAAAATACGTTTTAGAAAACACAAATCTAATTTGAAGCTGTTCTAGGTTTGGAACATTTACCCATAGAATTACAACGAAATTTTACCCTAATGAGAGACTTGGATACAAGGGCCCAAGGTTTAATGAAGAATATTGACTCATTAGCTGATAATTATCTGCGAAATCAGAAAAATTTAATACCAGAAGAAAAGAAAGAAGAGCTAGATAAAATACAAAGTCTCTTCAACAAAGCCAAGGTATAAATGAAGTAATTTTGTTGATCCTGTTTAAAGCAAATAAATTACAGAGAAGTAATTCTTTGTTAACTATAGGAATATGGCGATGATAAAGTACAGTTAGCAATACAGACTTACGAATTAGTTGACAAACATATAAGAAGATTAGATTCAGATTTAGCAAGATTTGAAGCTGAAATTCAAGATAAAGCAATCAGCCAATCTAGAAATCAAGAAGAAAATTCTGTTGGTAAAAGTATGTATAGTATAATTATGTTAAATATGGTTATATGTATCTTAAATTAGCACATTATTTTTATATAAAATTCACTTTAAACAGAAGGAAGGAAGAAAATTAAAGATGTTAAAGATAATAAGAAAAAGCGGTCAGGGAATTCGAGTGAAGAAGATTCAACTGGTACAGGAAGAGGAATAAAAAAGAAAAAACAAAAAGGTTCAAGTACTATATCTGCCATCAGTGGTGGAACAGTTTCTGTTACAAAAGCTGCAGGTGAATTTTACAACTTATATGAATATGATCCTAGTTTTATTTCCTTATTTTCTTATTAATGTTTCAAAAACAGGAAGCAATAAGTACTCATGATTTTAGTAGAATATTTATTGACTTTTATGCTTATAGATGCAGTTTTGCCAGCACTTGCAGGAATTGCGCACCCTAGTGATGTTTTGGACATGCCAGTAGATCCTAATGAACCTACATATTGTCTTTGCCACCAAGTGTCTTATGGAGAGATGATTGGCTGTGATAATCCAGATGTAAGTATAGTGGATATTGTTTCCATTAATTTGTGAATTAAATGTCTAATAAATTTGTTATAAGTTGTTAATTTGGTTTGTTAACAATTTATGAATTTATATTTCAGTGTCCAATTGAATGGTTTCATTTTGCTTGTGTTGGTTTAACAACAAAACCAAAAGGTAAATGGTATTGTCCAAAATGTACTCAAGATAGAAAAAAGAAATAAGCAGTTAAAGGCAATCATTCCACCTAATTTATACAAACTAAATTTCTATTTATAACTTTTTTATTTTGATTAAACATGTATTTATTTGGAAATAAATATAAACATTTTTATATGATTGATTTTCCTTGACATCAGCATATTTATAATAACAATTTACTAATAAGTAACCATTTCACATTAAATTTAGAATGTTACCGTTAAAAAAATAAATGCTTGTTAATTATTCTGAAATATTACCATTATGAAAACTACATTTTTATAATCAAATCACAATTACTGTCTCGTATACAAATACGTATAAGAAATTGCAGTTAAATTTTTAAAAGACAATTTCTTTAAATGGGTATACATTAAAAAAAATAAAGAAAGAAACAAAAATCCATTTGAGTATATTATAATATATACATATAAAGTCGTAAATTAATTAAAATTACCTTCCTTTAGTAAAATTCTCGAAATTTGACTACAAATACGAATAATAATCATTTAGTCTCATTAGATGGCTTTACTCTAAACATCCTGTGTATTTATTAGTCATGGGTAGTGTCACAATAAATATTTTCAATGTTTTTGAGTTTTTTTTGCGCTTAGGGGCTGTCCATATTATTATAATTAAGCAATATTAATTAATTATTGACTCCCCTCTACTAAATAGGAGAGTAACGTCTGAAAACTCCGCCACATTTTGTTTTATAGCAGTTTTGTAGTTTTAAGTTTGAATTTAGAACTTATCAAGAGGAATCATCTCTCTTCCCAATTTGCTAAAGTTATTTGTGGATGATCCCATATAGGTACTTACATTCTTACATGCATCTTTCATTTGATACCCTCGTGCCTGTTCACGATACTCGGGAAAGTACATACTCCAAGAACTAGAACTTTTTCGCGCCAAAATTTATGGTGTACGTTTTACTCACGCATGTCTAAGACATGCAACCAGTCATTCCGCACCTGTTTTCTACTTGCATTTGATCGTATTTCTGTTACAAAAAATATTTTGCGGAAACAGGAAGTCAAATCTCTATAAATAGTTGAATGTTTTATCCTTTACTTTATATAGAACCTGAAATTCATAATGAACAACCGAATTAACAAAACAAATTTCCACTTTAAAAGTGGTGGTAAAAAAATCGGAATGAATTCAGTATGTATTGTGTCAGAATCAAAACGGATATTAGAAGAATATCGTAATGTATTTACATTTATGTTAAATAACAAACCATTTCATCAAAAAATATTTTATTATATTAAATATAAACATTTGTACTTCGTATTACTGCATTATTATATAGAAACGAATGGTACGGAAAATACATTTTCTATATAATGTTGATCACTACTTTCCTGTTAATAAAAAAACCATAGCAGCTAATAAAAAAAAATATTTTACCTACCTATTTTTGAGCAAATAATATACAAATAATTTGATTACCGATAAAAAATTGTTCTTGAAACTCACCGGCTTTTTATTTTTAAAAGTTTGATGTAAATAATACTTGAGGTCATATATGTAGGTACTTATTTTATAATACTAATAATTCAGTACTTAAAATATAATTAGACTTAATTTGCATTCTTATAATTATGTACAATATTGTACTTTTTAAATGTTAATTAGGTACTTGCTTGTATTACATCGTAACAAAAAATAAAAAACAAACTAATATATATACATGCATAGATTATAAAAATTTTATTAACTAATGTTGTATTAGGAAATTAGGAGTTCACTACGTTTTATATTAATAGCGTAATATATATATAAACATTACAATTTCTAAACGGAGTGGATATAATTTTTTATATCGAGAAAAATTTTTTGTAACAAAGTGGAGAAAGTAACAAAAAGAATTGATGGATAATACAAAATTGTAAAATGTTACCATTTTTACCAGAAATAACCCCTTTGTCAATATTTTTTAAACACTCAGTACACGATAATAAGCTTACATCAGTCTGGTAAATAATAATTAAAAACGAATCAAGAGAAAAAATTACTTTTTAACATTTTCATCGCTTAAATCTACTGTTACATTAACCATGCCCTTAAGTGGAATATTATTACAGTTTTGTGGTTTAGTTTTTAAGGGAATTTTCAGCCATTCTTTTAAAAATACTGGTAAATTTTCGTAAGTACTCTTAGCAGGAGGAGATAAAAGTTCGTCATCGACATCTGCCGGGTTTTGGGGACCGGTTTGGAATGATACTATCAAACCTATGATTATTGTTAGAAAAAATCCTACTGCCGAATACCATAAATACGAAATCCGATATAAGAATAAAATGTCATTGCTGAAATTAAAATAAAGGTTTCTTAAACTTTTTTACATTATTTTCATTTTTATAATGACTTTAATTGATTTTAAAGCCATAGGAAGCGCCATATTGCAAAAAACGATTTTTTATGAATTTTGACCTTGAATAATTTTTGAAGCGACGGTGATTTCGTGTTCCATTTTTAATTCTTTTTTCTAAACACGAAACTAAATCGATAAAAAAAAGATGGTAACTAATTTTTTTAAACATAAAAACCTAATTTTACTGGACTATCAGCATGATTCAACGAGAGGTTTTTTCGTTAGATTATACCAAAAAGAGCTTTTAACAACTCAGAACATGTTTGTTTTTCCTTACTTACCCTTCATCAGCCACATTGTTATTAATATTTTCTATGCCAGTATCGTTCATGCAAAGACAATCTTCAGTTGATGTTGGCTTTTTCAGTAGTTTATAATCGCCATTTGCAACTGCCACTTGCTGTCCTAAAGCCATCCATGAAACCATTGCAATAGCAGTTATAGAACCCACTAAAGCACCCTAAACAATTTTAATTTAAAATTTGAGGGAATATCATGTTTCTTTTGTATTTCTGAACAAGTGCCAGATATGCGAAAAATCGTTGCTATGATGTATTTGTAGTAGTAGAATCAAATGATTTCCTATTTCAAATACTAACTTTGAAACTGTTCTGAAAAATCTATTCTAAATGCAAAATGCAAAGTAGATACTTATCTATATTATTCATAATCACCCAGAATTGAATACTTTAATGAAGAAAACTGAATAAATAAGTAACTGGCTTTGATAAAGCTCCCAACCTTGGATACGTTGTATTTTGCTAATAAACAAGAATATTTACTGGAAAAAATTCTGAATTTCTTCATTTAAGTAGATACTTATTTTTCAATAGCTTTTCAAAATTTTTATAGTTGTTTATCAATAAAATTGTTCTATTGTTTTGTTGTTTATTGTAAAGTTCATATAGGGATACGTGAAATAGGCACACACTACCTTTTGGCAAAATTTGTAAACCTGGGCAAGGAACTTTATACAGGAATAGCATGTGGATCGTATAATTGTTTAATAAAATCACAAAAAAGCGTTATGAAAATGAAAAAATATTTCATAATGGAGTATCTGCAGTTTTCTCCTCGTTTAAAATCCAATACAAAGTTGACAAAAGGCTATAGAGCCTTCTACAAACATTCTGAACTGCATTTCCATTACGTATTTTAAGATGATTGTTTTACATTCTTATATAAAAGGTATATTTGGAAAAATTAGAGAATTGTAAACAAGAAGTTTCTACGAAAGCAATAAGTAAGTATCTAAGAACTGAATTCTGGAATGAAAATTTATTCACGTCTAATATTCAAAAACATCTGAAGGATCTGCTCTGGATTTCTTTTTTACATATTTTATAATTTGACCGAGACTGAAATCGTGTTTATCTTCGATAAAATTCTTTTTTTAACGATTTGTGCCAATACATGATTGTGCAATCAACCACATTGTATAATGAGACAATTCAATTAATTAAAGTAGAAGACTCACCCCAATTACCACTAAAATAATTTTATTGAGCGGACACGTGTTTCGCCCACTTCAAACGTGGGCATTACCAACGCGAGACTAATATCATATATAAAAGAAATTGCTGTCAGCACTCCACAAAGTAGTATTACGTAGTTAGTATCAGCAATTTCTTATGCTGAAGTGTACGATGTGTTGCATACATATTTACAAACAATTCCTTTAAATTTAATTTTTCAAACAATTTTTAACACAAAGAAAGCGATTAAACAAATTGTTCACAAAAGTGAATTTCGACCACTCGAAGCAATGGTTCTAGCAGTTTTGAGCTCACAGAGACTGATAGGGGGGAAGAACTTGTATATTTAATACAAATTAAAGTATTCTTNTTATTAATTTACCACAGTCTCCTTGTTTCTATTTTGAGACGATTCAAATTGACTCAACTATGGTGGAAACTTAGTTACGTGAGTTTGGAATTAGTACAAACCTTTTTAAAAGATAATAATAAAAAAACTTTTAATAACTACTACAAATACATATAGAAATTAAAATTTAGAAAGAGCATTTTAATTCAACGCATTTTGGATTAAGTACTGTAGAAGATACTTAAAACAATTGGCTGAATATTTTCCACTCATAGCGGTTTAATTTTCCAATGAAATTAGTTATTAATAATTATAAATTAGTAGTAAGTAAGAATAGCGTCAAACCGAGCTTACAAGAAATTGTAATTGCTCTGTCTGAGTTTGAGTACCTTTGAATTGGCGAAAGGAAAGAACATTCCCAAAGAAAACAGCCCTAATGTAATTCCACCAACCATACCATTAAAGCTGAGGGCCACTTGCATTACACTTCCCAATTGTTCTACTACGAAAACCTTAAATGCAAATAAAATTTATTTTAGTGAAAAGCAACATTTATTATTCTGTTATTGTAGTTTTCTTTTATATTATATATATATTAAGTATATACACTTTTTTTGTAAGAGAAAGAAGGAAGTAGCTATACATTCGTAACAGAAATATAACAGGCGCCTAATTTACAATTCATATCAACAATAAATAAAGAGCAAATATGTATTGAAGGTAAACAGTAGAACGACTTTTTAATACGGAAGTGTTTATAGATAACATACATGCTACATGTACCAAAACAATAAGGTACATCAGCATCATTATAAGATCGTCAGTTCTAAGACTGGTTGGACACGCACCTCCACTCCTTCCTATCCTGAGCTAATCTTCGCATTTCTCTAAAACTAGAACATCTCATATCCTTAATTATTTGGGAACAGTAATCTAATCTAGGTCTACCTCTTCTCCTCTTAACTCCTTTTTCTGCCACTAATATGTCTCTGACTAGACCTTCATGTCTAAAGTGTCCTACCAACCTATCTCGCCTATTTCTGATTGACTTCTATAGACTGCTTTGTTCTCCTATTCTATCTACTACCTCTTCATTTCTAATCTTCTCTATCCACGGTATCCTCTTCATTCGGTGGTAACACCACATTTCGAACGCTTCTAACCTTTTCTTTTCCGCCGCGCCCACCGTCCATGTTTCGCACCCGCACAGCGTCGCGCCCCAAACACATACCTTCAACAATCTTTTTGTAATTTCAAAATATATCGTCCGCGAGCATAGAAATAAGTTATTTTTATTACACGCGACTCGACCCTGCGCTATTCTCTGCTTTATATCCTTACTACTCCTTCCGTCCTAACTTATCTGACTTCTTAGATACTTAAAATCAGCCATTTCTTCTAATTTTTAGCCTCCTATCTTTATATTCGCTCTTTCACTACTTTTTCTTCCCTTGCATACCAGCATTTTCATTTTACTTTTATTTATTTTCATACAATACTGTTTTGTCAATACCGCTTCCATTTTATTTAAAGCTATCACAAACTTCTCTTTGCTAGATGCTAAAACTGCTATATCATCTGCAAATCTAAGCATACTAATCTTTTGCCCGTGTATATCTATCCCTACAGTTGTACTATCTTTAATGATGTTGACACTGTATAATTCCACTAAAAGTTCATTTTACTTGCGCTAGAAACGTTACCTATTTTATATGATTTATTTATTCTTAAAATGAAAATGTGCAACAACAGAGTAAAAAGAGATGTGATTAATTTAACGTTCCCGTTTTCACGGACTCGTTTCTACTGATATGTGTTGTCCTCTAATTATCTCACGGTATACCTATTGCACACCTGCTATTACAAAGGTATTACATGCATCATCAAAATCATCGCCGTGGCTCATTTTGCTGTGCAAGCAACTAGGATATAAAAAACCATTTTTTCACACAGTCCAGGTTCAATCTTGTTTATAATTTCTTGTAGTCTAGATAAGTTTTATTTCTTGTAATTAATATTAATAAATTTTTAAAAAGTCGATTTTGTCCGTCGAAAAGTTANTATAGGTATCCTAATTTAATTTTTCTTGTTCTAAAATTATATTTATTTACCAGAAATATACATCTGCATAGCTGGAGAGTTATTAAAAGCAATATCGATTACCTGTTCGTAGGACTGGAACACAAAAATTGATCCAGTATTAGCGAAGTTATTGTATTTGCTTATAAGTAAAAAATTTTGCTAGATATCTCAACAATTCGGAAAAATGAAAATTTAAAATACTTTTGTTTGGATGCAGTAACAATTTGAAAAAAACCTTATATGAAATTTAATTACGAAAATTTTTCTTTCTCATGATTAAGTCAACAATTTCTGAGATACATGCCGCAGTTAGCACTTTATGTTATTTTCTTACGTAATCGTTGAAAACAACACGTGTCATTTACCCAGTTAAGAACCTCAAGAGATAACGACATAAACATTTTTCAAGCAGTTCCGTTCACAGTTAACCCCGCTCCCTGCGTCGACATACTTTTAGCATTTTATCATTGTTACTTTTTCGTCGGCTAAAAGGTATTTCATATGTAAAAACATTTTCTCTGAAAAATAACCGATAAAAATTCAATCAACAGACACGGATTGAGGAGAATATTTTCATTATTGAATTTAGACCGAATTTTTATTATTCATATTTATTGTATTAATTCCGAAGATAAATGAAAATTTATCTGGATAGGGTGGCTTAT